TCGGTTGCGAAGAAGCCTCCTCACCTCTGTAAACGCCGCCCGAGCCTTGGCCACAGCCGCAGTGTAGTCAGATCTGATGATAATCGGTTCCTCCTTAAAATGAAGATGGCCGCGGCGACGCACCCGACGTAATATTTCCACACATTCTTGATAATAGTGCAGCTTAGCAACAATAACCCGCGGCTTATCGCCTGACCTGTTCCCACCTGGAGAGCGATGGGCTCGGTCAACCAGTGGCTCTTTATCCATCTGTAGAACCTCTGCTAGCAGTTTAGCTACTGCTGTAGAGGAGCTGGATTCTGGCGTCTCGGGAACTCCAATAATCCGCACATTGCACCTTCTCATGCGCCCTTCCATATCGTCACACTTCTTTTTGAGCCCATCGACTTCTTCTTTCATTTCCAAGACGGTGGTGCGCAGAGCAACAATCTCATCGGACYAGGTCGACAAGCCGTCCTCGACCTCCTTAACGCTCTGCTTAAGGTGGTCCAGGTCGGCGCGTAGTAGCATTGTGCCGTTAGCCACTTCAGCTCTCACCGCTTGTAGCTCTCCTTTTATAAGAATAAACTCTTCAGCCAAAGCCGCTTTTATTTCGGATTTGATCACAGCTGAGAGATCGTTTTTATAGCGGCAAGAATGTCAGACTTCAAGGAGAGTGCGTCCACCTCGCCGCAGGAGRGAGAAGGAGGCGCCGAAAATCCGGCTTTAGCTGCAGCCTGCTCCAAGGCGGCATCGGGCCTAACAGCCGCAGAGCTAGAATGTTTGCCTTTCCTCGAGTTTGTCGCCATTCTTCTACTGTTCCAGGCAGGAATCACTCAGGGGTCGAGTCCGGACAGACCAAATGCTCAAAACAGCAAGGACATTTAGTAGAGAACCACAAACAGAACAAGTCTGAGCGGTAGCCCACGCGACACACGTCTTACTCCTCCGCCATCTTGCCCCGCCTCTCTTTTACCAAGGTTTAGCTTAGCTTTCTTTGCCTGCGCCACAGGTTTGCGGACCACTGGAAGCCTGATGCTTTGGTCGGTCAATCTGACCAGACACAAGAGTACATTCACTCTGAGTTTGAAAAGGCGAAAAGCCCCGAAAAACTACCTCCATTGCCCGAATCTGATCCAAACAGATCAAGCACGCCCACTCAAGCCGRGATGGGCCGGCTTTACACTCATCATCACTCATTTCGAGACTACGTCTCCACCAATATCCACTTCTTTTTCAAAACGC